GAAGCAGAAACGTTGCTCTCACAGCTCTTGGCAGTCACCTCAACAATTGATGCGTTGAACATGGCCCACTCAGACTTAATGTCCCCAGCTATTGCAGGGATGCAGTTAAAGCTCTCTCGGAGGTGTGAGTTAATAGTCTTTCTGACAGGTTCTTCTGCCAAGCGTTCCCAGTACCCTCACTATACTTGTGGGTCTACCGGGTCTGTCTAGCATCTTCCCCCACCATCTGATTCATCTCACAACAGGTGGTGATCAATTGACAGCTCAGCTCCTCTCCTCACCCGAGCGTCCAAAACAAACAGCCACAAATCATATGACACAACTACAAAGTCAGTCATCGATCTACGATTTAAATGTCCTTGTGCCAAGTGCACTTATGGACTGGACACCCAAATGTTTGAACATGGTGTTTATGATGGACAAACCATGACTGGCACAGAAGTCCAACAACAAACACCGCTCTTGTTCAAATCAGAGAGCCTGTTCCTCCTGATTGTGCCCCTCAAGGTCACACTGACATTACCTACATGGGCGTTGATGTCCTCCAGAAGAATAAATGAGTCCCCAGCTGGAACACCTTCCAGTGCCCCCACTAAGGACTCCAAGAAGGCTGGATACTCTGAACTGCAGTTTAGCGCATAGGCACAAGCAACACTCAGAGCCTGTCCTCCCACCCAAAGGCGCAGAGAAACTATCTCTCTTATCTGCCGAGAAAAACTCCAACACACAGGCACCAAGGCGGGAGACTAAGAGTAGGCCCACACTAGCTCGACATTTCAACTCCAGAGTGGAATGAGGTTCTGTCCCTCTCAAAGAGTTTGCTTGCTGATCTGGTTTGACTTTGTTTATGGAGTTTGGTTACTGCCCATGCTGTGTGTCGAGGTGAGCCCAACTATATCTAGGTGGTACCTCAACCTCACACACAAGCTCAGGCTGCTTCCCTACTAGAGAGGTTACATTCCATGTCCCAAATGCCAGCTTTGGTAAGGCAACGTCAGAGTGCCAAGGCCCCCACCTTTAGACATTAGCATGGCATCATGCACCCGACTGGTCTGGCCCTTCTTGCAGGTGGTGTGCCAACAGGAAGGCAAACCTATGTTGCTCATTCAGGCTGAGCCTGACTGGGCCTATGGGTAGATACCCGGTTACCAGGCGCTCGCCGATGAGCCTCTTGTCCCGGCCTGGCTCCAGGGTGGGACCCTGATAATACACATCCAGCAAGGAACTTATAGTTCCTTGTGTGTTTTGGTCCATACAAGTGTCAAGTCAAGTCACATTTATTTATATAGCACATTTAAAACAGTAACTGTTATCAAAGTGATTACCAAAAAAAGATCACAACATCAAATATTAATAACAAGATATTACAGCATCATGAATAAAAGCATAAAAACATGAAATATAATTAGAAACAATGAAATACTAAATCAAATAACCCTGCGTTAAATGTCAGGGAGTAAAAGTAAAATGGATGAACACAATCATCAACAATGTACCAAATGAGATCACACTGTGTTAAATGCCAATGAGTACAGATGACTTTTGAGGAGAGATTTAAAAACAGAGACTGAAGTGTCCTGTCGAATGGTGGTGGGGCAGCTGTGGCTGAGTGGTTAGAGCAGTCGTCCTCCAATGCGAGAGTTTGGGGGTTCGAATTTACCAGCAGTCATGTCGAAGTGTCCCTGGGCAAGACACTGAACCCCTCATATCCTCTGTGTGTCCCATCAGTGTATGAATGTGATCTAAAAACACTGATTAGTCTCTTTAGAATGATTTGTTCAATTTTGTAGAGATCTAGTAGAGTGCTGTATGAATGGGTAAATAAGGGCACAGATTGTAGTGTAAAGCGCTTTGAGTATCTTGAAATAAGATAGAAAGGCGCTATATAAGTACAGTTCATGGGTAGGGGTTGAACAATTACATAATTTTTAAACTCGACATTAACATAATAAAACTTGAGTACAACTCGAGTACTTGAAGGCATTATAGGATCTAAAGATACAAAAATAAATAAATAAATAAAACCGCAAAAAAAGGTCATTATTTACAAAAAAGACCAACAAAACATTGGGAGAGTATATTATGCTCCTACCATTTATCATACGGCAAACAAGTCACAGGAAAAAATAAACTATTAGTTATTATTATTAAGCTGCAAAAGTGAATAAACGTGCAGCACGTCAAAAACGAAACTAAAAACAGTGGGGCGGTCGACCACCCCACACCACCGCCAGCTTTGGTGCGCATTAGATTTAGTTTTAAAGATTAATATGTTTATAGATTTTTTTATAGGTTCAGAGATTAATATTTTTTGCTTTTTGTTTGTGAAACAAGGTCAGAGGAAGCTGGTTCTGGTTTGGTCATTGGACCCGGTGTTACACCATATTCTGTGACCTGCAACAGTGCATGCAATACTGCCCCCTACGGTCACAATATATAGTGGTCACAGAAAATGATGTGACACCGGTTCACAACAAGCTCCAAACAGTCAGGAAGTTGATTAATTTTCAGTTTCCTTACAGTATTTGAACCAGAAGATTCATCTTTAGTGAAATATTTCCAGACTATTGATGCATTTCTACCTGTTTGTCAAGACTGGACCTGCTCTGCTCCATCCATCTGCTTGGAGGAATCCATTTTGTAACCCGCGCCTGGTGCGGATCACGTGACACGTGGCGCAATGACGTCACTGCGGCGTAGTGACGTCACCACGAATACTCGATGTGAAATTAAAAACCTCGATAGGTGTCCTAGGAATCTATGTGCAGATTACTGGAGTAGTCTGTTAAAGCCCTATCCATGGGCAGATTGTTCCAGAGTTTAGGGCCCATGACTGAAAACGCCCGATCTCCTCTGAGCTTCAGCCTGGTTTTTGGTACCACCAAAAGCAGCTGGTCTGATGATCTCAAGGCCCAAGAAGGAGTATAAGGATGAAGAAGGTCGGAGAGGTGTGACGGTACAAGGCCATTAAAACACTTAAATGTCAGCAGAAGAATCTTAAAATCAACTCTGACACACAGGAAGCCAGTGAAGGGAGGACAGAACTGGAGCAATGTGCTCAAACCTGCGAGTTCCTGTTAGTAGTCGAGCTGCAGCATTTGGACAAGTTGGAGACGTGAGAGAGAGACCTGACTGACCCCAGCATAAAGCGGGTTACAGTAGTCCAGCCGGGTTGTAATAAATGAATGGACTAATTTTTCAAGGTCGGATCTGGACAGCACAGACTTGAGCTTAGCTATCTGCCTTAGCTGAAAGATGCTTTTTTGAAGAACAGAATTTATCTGTTTATTAAACTTAAAGTCCAAGTCTAAAACTATCCCAAGATTGGTAACTGACTGGTTTAGATATGGCTGAAGGGAGTCCAGGTCTACAGGATCAGTGACAAGTGTGTTGAATCGCTCTTTGTCTGGCCTGTTACCTAGGACCAATCAGCCATGGGAGACCCTACTGGGGCAATTACACTTGCCCCCGACAACATAGCTCCTAGGATCATTCAGGCACACAAACTCCACCACACTAAAGTGGCAGTTCAAGGAGAATTTTTTTAATTAATTTCTCTAAACTGTAACTCACAATTTTAACTTGATTACAAAAAATATTCTTGGCAAAACTCTAATTTCATAATTTTAATTTGCCTATTGCTCTGTGGACACAAAGTTTAACACAAAACATTACAACTATTCCACAACGTGCTTACTTTAAATGTCATACGTTGTATGGCTGACTGTAGAAACAAACATTCTCTCCGATTCTGCCCAGCTGTTCTTCTGTTTAATCTCACCAGTCAGGCAGCTCACGATGATTTACAAAAGTTGGGGGTTCGTTGGGTGCGACAGTCTGAACTGACACAAGTGATGTGATCTGTGATCAAGAGCAGCGAGTATAAATCAGGCTTTGGGTTTCCAGACAAAAGGATGTTACACATGCAGTTACATTACACAAATAGATATTTTGAAAGATAACTTGATTTTCAAAATATTTTACAGCTCCGACCGTAAAATTACTGTTTTAAAAAGTTAATATCATAGAACCAACATGTGACTTCTAAAAAAAACGTTGTGCCAATAAAATAAATAGAAAGCATGTGATTTTGAATCACCTGCTTTCTGCTGTAACTAGTTGCAGTGGTTAAAAAAAGTGAAACATTTTTGTTTTATTAGATTTATTTTGAGCAATTAACAAAAGTATTCTTATTACAGACACTATTTTTCTGTACAATTAGAAAATTACTGGATGCCTCAAATTCCCCCCCTGGAATTAATAATCTCTGTCTGTCTGTCTATCCTTTTTTCTTTATTTCTTTCTTTCATCCATTCATTCATTCATTCATGATATTAAAGCTATCAAATGAACAGGTTACTCAGCAGAGATTCAGATGTAGGAGTTCAAAGTGATATTGTCTCTATTTTTAGTAACCTCTGAAAACCATGTTAACTAATTACAGCCCAACCCTAAAAATGGAACTTCCCCTCACATGGTGCAAAAAGACTTGAAGATGTGTTAAAGGAGTCCCCAGAATATGCTAATGATTCAATGGCATATTCTGTGTATAAAAATCCACATTTAGATTAATACTGCACACACTTAAATGTGTATGTCCATTAAAGTGAACTGCAATTACAAACAACCTGATTTGTATGAATTACATAAAATTAAAAAGGCCAGCTAAATAACTGTTTGATCCTGCATTAATTAGTCACTGTTCAATTTAAAACTGCATACACAAATTGTTTTGATTAGATAGCCCATGCATAGTCCTACAGAATAATATAGTTTTAATATAATTGGGGGAAAAAATCATTTCCAGTTGTGAAATATACCTATTTTAAGATTAAATCTGACTTTAAAAAAAGCTCAGTTTAATTCTGTGTGGAATAGCCAGATGATCTGAGAGGGAATTTATAAAGTCCTGGGGAGATGCTGCCCCCATCTGTGAGGGTCATGAACTGCACGTTAAATGAGCATGACATTCACAGCCCTTCTCTCATCTTCCTTTTCAGTTCGGGAAAAGCGGAAAAGCCTTTACATCAACCATGTAAGTAAAATAAAAGACCTTGCTCAATTTGGAAAGGATTACCTCATTTTGTTTGTTTGATTTTTGAGCAAATAGTAATTTTAATGTGTTGTATGTTTTGCAAGTTCACTCACATTTCGGAGAACAAGGTAAAGAAATCATAATCCCACAAAGTAACCCAGACGTCTTGTATTTGTTTCTTCCCAAGTCAAACTCCATAAATTGCACATAATCCCAGTTATGTTTTTTTTTTTTTTTTAAGGATTAAAATTCTAGAAAAAATTTCCTAGAATTTTTTCCCCTTATTACTTAACATGGTGCAGTTCATCCGTGAGTCCTCTGGGTTCATGAGAAAAATATACCTTTTATTTGTTTAGCATATTCTTTTAGAATATACTCAGAATTCTGCAAGACAAGTGGGATTATAAATGCTTTTATGTGAGAAAATCATTGATTATCTAAAAAGCTTAATACTGTAATTTCTGGACTATAAGCCGCTACTTTTTTCACAGGCTTTGAACCCCACGGCTTATACAATGCTGCAGCTAATTTATGGATTTTTTAAATTGAATTCTTTGTTTGATTGGCTAACGAGCTTCATGCCGGCAAAACATTTATCCTCGTCTCATCCGGGCACTCGCATAGCTGCCCATTACACGTCTCTCTTGGGGAGTGGGTCCTTGTGACTTAATGAGACTACCTGTTAAAGATATAAAAAAATATTAGACCAATGAAATTACCGAACAGGTCACAGTGGACCAATGAAATTTTGAATTACGTAAAGCAAATACACTCACTAAATTCTTCAGCTCAGTTTTTTTGCACTTCATGCACAGACCCTCATCATGGAAAACACACAAAGATGCACATGATGCAGCTTTCAAGTTAAAGGCAATCGATCTGGCTGTCAAAAAAGGAATAGAGCTGTTGCACGTAAGCTTGGCGTCAATGAATCGATGGTGAGACGTTGGAGACGGCAGCATGAAGAACTGAGTCAATGCAAAAAAGCTTTCAGAGGTAAAGAAAAAAAAAAAGCAGATGGCCTGAACTTGAAAACATTCTTGAAAACTGGGTGAAAACACAGAGAGCAGATGGCCGAGGTGTTTCCACTGTGCAGATCCGACTGAAAGCCAAAACAGTCGCCACCGAAAACTAGAATGAATTTATTTATTTATTTATTTTTAACATAGCGATCAGTGACTTCTCCTGGTAGGCTGCTGTATATATTTTTTTTTTTACCAGCCGTATTACAGGCACCGTTCAGAAAAATAAAAATAAATTTACTGTTCATATTTGTGCATGTTAATATTTAATTTAAAGTTTTTAAAACTCTTTCTGTGTAAATATGATAAAATGTAGACACCCGTGGCTTATAGACAAGCTCAGCTTATATATGTACAATTTTTTTTTTAATTATTAGTTATTATTATTTAGTGGGTGCAGCTTATATTCGGTTGTGCTCAATAGTCCGGAAATTATGGTACTACTGAAAATATAATTTGAACAATACAAAACAGAAGTTTGATATGTCTCTAAAGATGCACTTCACCATAAATGTCACTCATGCATGCCACCACATCAGGCATCCAGGTTCCCTCCTTAACATATTTGTCACGTTGCTCATCCAAATACGATTGAAAGAAAGGTTGACAAGACATGTATTTGTGTGTTTTGTATGATTATGTGCAGCATCATCCAGGTCCGGTGAGACGAAAGTACAGCTCATGTTCCACCATATTTCTTGATGACAGCACTGTCAGTCAGCCCAACCTGAAGTACACCATCAAATGGTAGCTTGTCCAATTATATTTAACTTTTAACATTAATTAAATATTTAAATAAATGTTTTGCCCCATTGTCCTCATCTGCTTCGTGTAAAGATTTTGTTTTGTTTTCACAGTGTAGCCTTGGCAATATATTATCACATAAAGAACAGGTATGTGAAGTAGTTTACATTCCTCCAAGTGTACAATCGTCTGCATGCTAAACACCAACACAAACAAGTTTTTCCTTTCGCCTGGAATGACCTAAAGTGGAAGGTTATATATTTTGAAGTGGGGTTCTAGTTATGAACAATTAATTTTCCACCTGTTGTAGGTGACTCTTTAAATTACTTCAGTTTGAATTCTGACCTTATTGATGAGCTAATGGCTAGTCTGAGTATGAAACCCAATAAATCCATTCAGTTACTTAGACTACAAGCATGTCTTAAAGACATGAAAACCTGGATGGGAGACTGCGACGAAATGAAGACTCAACGCAATCTGCTGGCTACCCTACCTTTACCTTTACCCTTATAATGTTAATAATTGAATTTTTATGTATATGAATGTATTTGTTCAGTGCCCTGAGATAACGTCTGTTGTAATTTGGTGCTATATAAATGAATTGAATTGAACTGCAGATTAAGCTTGGGGTGGCTCGTAACACTTGCATATAGAAATCCAGCCTATGACACGTACTTTTTATCTGACCCTAATTTTTTTTCTTCTTTCTCACTCCAGAGATATCGATGGGCGAATGTTGTTAGACATATTTGATGAGAAGCTGCATCCTCTCTCGGTACGGCTCAGCTGCAGATACATTTCATTTATGTGTGAACTGTAACACTGTCAACATATCCTCAATAATCCAGGTAGAAAAATCTAAAAAAGTTGCATCTGGTCCTCTGGAAACAGAACAAACAAAAAAAAAAGTACTAACGTGTCGTCTTTCATCCGAAAGACTGATGTGCTGTTTTCAGCTCAGTCTCTTAAATAGCACCTTCTCAGAGTGGATCAACCAGTTTGCTGCTGACAACCAAAACCAGCTGCTCACATGATCAAGGAGGACCATCAGCCTAACAATGGATCATTAGCACACTGATGGCTGTTTACTATTCACAGAGGGCTGAGTGATACTAGCAATAACAGCATTGTAAGAGGGGGACAGTTGAACACGGAGGCCTCCACCCCTGTTTAATGATGGTCGGTTTCTTTTCACAAAGATGGCCTCCTTCACTCCTCACTCAAACCATCGTTCCTCTCTGTCCATTTCTCTATCCGACCACTGTCAACATTAATAAGTGAGACAAACCGCACAAGCTAATGATCAGCAAATATAAAAATTAGGAAAAATAAAGGACATTTGTCTTGTTACTTCAGGAGCTCAGTAAATTATTTAATTTATGTCTGTAAAGTATATTTATTACAATTCAATTGTACAATTCACGCAATCAAATGTGACACAGAAGTTCATCAAATTGCTGCAAATAAGATGCAATCTTGTTGATTTTGTATTGTTACCTGGTGTATTTTACAGAAGTCTGAAGTTCCTGCTGATTATGACAAATACGACCCCGAGCAGAAGCAAATCTACCGCTTCGTCCGGACGCTGTTCAGTGCTGCTCAGCTCACTGCTGAGTGTGCCATTGTCACTTTGGTAAGTGGGTGTTCTTATATTGACACTAGGAGCGAGTGTTACTTCCTGATTATATTTGTTTGCTTTCTCTTAATGTATTGCGGTTTATGCCGTTTCAATTGCTTCTTTGTTTATAGACGTCAAAATTGGCAAAAAGTATATATTTTACTGAATGCTGTAGCTAAAATGTTGGAAAATGAGCATGTAGTCTCTTAACAAAAGTAAATATTAGAAATGAACTTTCCCTAAAGGATGTGTGCAGACTGACAGGCTTAAATCAATTCTGCCAAATTTAAATTGTAGAATGAGCTTTGTATTGAATTTTTATTAGATGCTTACGTACCTGGATAACAAAAATTTGAACCGGTCCTTTTGACAATTTAAACTTTGTATTCTTACTCAATATAAATAATAGAACCCAACCGATATATCGGTAGGGCCGATAATTTAGGCCGCTATAGACGTTTGTGGACCTATCTGTGACAATTGTTCCATTATGTGTGGAACCTGCCATAATTGTACAATTATCCAGCAGAGGGTGCTTGAAGACTACTTTCAAGTCATGGATGTTCACTTTAAGTTTCACTTTCAGCACAGCCGAAGCAGGGAACAATACTGTTTAGAATATATAGCTGAACAGAGCATGGTAAGTTTATTTTAACTGATCGTAAAACAAATCAACAATGATAAATTCTCTTCAATCCTCCAACCCGCTTGTCATTGGCTACGTGCCTCTTAAGTTAGCAAGCTAACATTTAGATAACCTAGCATAGGCTATTGCCTTGTAAAACTTTATCCAGAACAATAAATCTAATGTACAAGAAATACTAAAGCATGCAATAAGGGTTCAAAATAAAGTACTAAAAAGTGAAAAAGAAATGTAATATTTTCAAGGTCCAATAGAAAAAAAATAGTCAACAACAACATGGTAGAATATAACAGTGCAAGTAGGATGAAATTGTATGAATATATATTTCACGGATGGTAGTATTAGCTTAAATGCACATGATATATATTACACATAACTAACAGGAACTGCACAGGTAATGAGTAACACTGAGATTGAATTATGATGGTATGGTAGATACATACATGATACAGCCACATAATGCAGCAGCAATAAACATATTAGCTGTCACAGATGTGGCTTAATGCAATCTTATTGTTGACTGTTCAGTATTATTATCAAGAGTTCAATAATCTGGCAGCTTGTGGATAATAGCTGTCCTTTAGTCTTTTTGTATGTGATGACAGACTCTTGTATCGTCTGCCTGAGGGTAGTAGATGGAAGAGTCCTTGTGCTGGGTGGGTGTGGTCCTTAATGATGCTGCATGCTTTACACAGACATAGGCTGTGGTAGATGTCCTGGACGGTGTGGAGACTGCTGCCAGTGATGTCCTCTGCTGTTTGCACCACCCTCTGTAGAGCTTTCCAGCTCTGACTGGTGCAGTTCCCATACCACCCTGTAATGCAGCCTGTCAGCATGCGCTTAATGGTGCACATGTAAAAGTTTTGAGGATGCTGGTATTTGTACCAAACTTCCTCAGTCCTCTTAGGATGTGGAGTCATTGTCTGGGTTTCTTGACCACAGTCTATGCATGTAAAGTCGAGGACAAATCCTCAGTAATGTGAATGCCGAGGACCTTGAAGCAATGGGGGAACTTCTCCCTAAACTGGCCAGTCGAGCCATGGAGAGCTGCCAGTGCCTCCCACTATCCTCTCCTTCCACAAGTTCTTTAATTAGCTTTATAAGTTTTTTCTGGAATAGTTATAAAGAAACAAAGATGGCTGTATTTTCCAACAACCTTGGATAGCTGATCCTCAGTGGAGCAGTTCAAGAAAAATTGCACTTTTGCATTCACCCACTTTTCTGCATAAACGTGCCTACATCAAAGGTCTGACCAATCCCACAAGTTGATTCTGACATTCCCTGGAAGAAAACATGTCTGTCTGGACCTTGTGTGCCCCAAAGCTCCTTGTGGACAAAATGACGTGATTATCATCAGTAACTATATAAGTGAGAGAGATTCTTTCCCTTTTCGTGGAGTATAAATCCAATTTTAGCATCATTCTCTTAGACCTTCACTGCTGTTTGCTAAGCACTAGGGTGTACAGATTTTTGTTATTCTTGGTTTGCATAGTGAGCTTCCCAGCATGCGGTCTTATTTCATGAGAGCTGTTCCAGTGTTTGCAGCCTGCTGCCACATATGAGCAACAGCATAGGCTCACACTGCCTGCAGGCACGAAGCCCATGCCAGCATGGTTGGTCCAATTAGCCACCAGAGCTTCCTTTGTAGTCAGCAAGTCCAACCAAGCTCGAACATGTGAATAAATTGTATTTTAATATTTTTTCCATAGATTTGTCTTTCTTTGTAACCTATTTTTTAAACCTTAAGCAACCGTTGTTCATTAGTTTTAGTAATAGTCATACTCTTGTGTACTTGTTGAATGGCATGTTTCCAATTCCAATTCAATCGGTTTATTTATGTAGCACAGATGTTTTTGTAAATTGGATCAAAAAATGTTTTCAAACTTTTATTACCGGTACTTTATTAAATCTGTCGGAGGGAAAGTGTGTGTGTGGTGTATGTGTGTGTACATATATATATATATATATATATATATATATATATATATATATATATATACATACATACACATATATACAGGTCCTTCTCAAAAAATTAGCATATTGTGATAAAGGTCATTATTTTCCATAATGTAATGATAAAAATGAAATTTTCATATATTTCAGATTCATTGCACACCAACTGAAATATTTCAGGTCTTTAATTGTGTTAATACTGATGATTATGGCATACAGCTCATGAAAACCCAAAATGCCTGTCCCAAAAAATTAGCATATTTCATCCCACCAATGAAAGACAAGTGTTTTTAATACAAAAAACGCCAACCTTCAAATAATCATTTTCAGTTATGCACTCAATACTTGGTCGGGAATCCTTTTGCATAAATGACTGCTTCAATGCAGCGTGGCATGGAGGCAATCAGCCTGTGGCACTGCTGAGGTGTTACGGAGGCCCAGGATGCTTCAATAGCGGCCTTAAGCTCATCCAGAGTGTTGGGTCTTGCGTCTCTCAACTTTCTCTTCACAATATCCCACAGGTTCTCTATGGGGTTCAGGTCAGGAGAGTTGGCAGGCCAATTGAGCACAGTAATACCATGGTCAGTAAACCATTTACCAGTGGTTTTGGCACTGTGAGCAGGTGCCAGGTCGTGCTGAAAAATGAAATCTTCATCTCCATAAAGCTTTTCAGCAGATGGAAGCATGAAGTGCTCCAAAATCTCCTGATAGCTAGCTGCATTGACCCTGCACTTTATAAAACACAGTGGACCAACACCAGCAGATGACATGACACCCCAGTGACTGTGGAAACTTGACACTGGACCTCAAGCAATGTGAATTCTGTCTCCTCTCTTCCTCCAGACTCTGGGACCTTGATTTCCAAAGGAAATGCAAAATTTACTGTAATCAGAGAACATAACTTTGGACCACTCAACAGCAGTCCCAGGCGAGATGCTTCTGACGCAGTCTCTTGTTCAAGATTGGCTTGACCTGGGGAATGCGGCATCTATAGCCCATTTCCTGCACATGCCTGTGCACGGTGGCTCTGGATGTTTCTTCTCGAGACTCAGTCCACTGCTTCCGCAGGTCCCCCAAGGTCTGGAATCGGCCCTTCTCCACAATCCTCCTCAGGGTCCGGTCACCTCTTCTCGTTGTGCAGCGTTTTCTGTCACACTTTTCCCTTCCCACAGACTTCCCACTGAGGTGCCTTGATACAGCACTCTGGGAACAGCCTATTCGTTCAGCAATTTCTTTCTGTGTCTTACCCTCTTGCTTGAGGGTGTC